TTGAAATAGATAAATAGTAAGAGCAATAACAATTACTGCTATCTCCCATTTCTAGATCTGCATCATGGTTTTTGTTTCGCCTTCTTCTCCAGCAACAGCAACAGCCTAGAACCAAAAGCGCCACCAAAATAACATTTGGGACAACAATTGCTACAATTGCTACAATCGTTGAAGCACATATGTTTCCTGCCCAAGGTAACCTCTTTTAAGATGTGCAAAAGTGGCAAATGCTTTACAAACTCAAATGAAGAGGAGCGGACACAAAAAGGAACCAACTTCCTCCTCAAAGACCACAAAACAACCTTGACTTGACAAGAGATTGAGAAAACTGAGTATTAGGGACAACAAAGAATATAATTGAAGAATGAAGACCACAAGAAAGGAGTGGACACAAAAAGGAACCAACTTCCTCCACAAAGACCACAAAACAACCTTGATGACAATAGATTGATGAAAACTGAGTATTATAAAAAGAATATAATTGAAGAATGAAGACCACAAGAAACTCGATCAAATATATATGTATACCTGAAGAAGGGGAAGGAACTAGTGGTGTCATTGAAGTCATATTGAACAAAAAAGGATACAAGCGCAATAGAAAAGTGGCTATTGGGATTGCACAAAAGAGTAACTTCTCAATTTCAATTAACAAAATAATAATATTCAACTCCTATAATAAGGGTCGTAAGCACCTTTTTATAGACTAATTATAAATGGGTTTACTTTTTCTGCAGTTAATGCAGATAATTTATCTGCAGTAAGCCCAATATGACGTCGTTTTGGGGCGGAAATCATGATATTTTTGTAATTTTAATTTATTTCAGGGTTATAATAGTCTTTATATTTAAATTTTTTAAAATTTCAATACCAAAACGACGTCGTTTTGAAAATAAATGCAGATAATTATCTGCATTAACTGCAGAGAACATTTTTCCCATTATAAATTGATTCAAAATTTAAAATCTAAAATTCTAACAATAATAAAACTTCCTAAAATAAATATAACATTAATTAACATCTAAAAATAAATAAAATATTACAAATAAATAATTCAAAATACATCTCAAATCTTTAATCTCAGATCACATCAGATATGTTGCTTTCCTTTTCTTTCCAAACAAATCACAATCACATCTGCTGCTATACTGGGACTTGGATTCGATTGTAATTTGTTATATTTCAAATTACTGCTTCTTTTAACATTTGAGTCATATTTATTAGGCCACAATTCTAATTGACTCTGGGTTAGGGGTGTAAATGGGCTGAGCTAGGCTAGACTTTGGCTTAAATAGGCCAAGCCTGTGTAAAAAGCATTGGGTATGGCCTGACCTATTAGCCTGTGTAGGCCCCAAATTACAAGTCTGACCTATATTTAAAAAATAAAAACTTTGGCCTAGGCTTGTTAGCCTGTTTAAGCCTATTAAACATTCAACAATTAAAAGAATAACTAAAATAATATTATTTTATTATTCAAAATTATAATAATAATAATTTTATTCATTATAATTTAAATAAATAATATGATATAAGCCGGCCTGTAGGCTTATAGGCTAGACATATACAAAAAAACCTATGGCTTATTTTCTAAATAGGTATTTTTAAAAGTCTGATCTATTTTATTATTAATAATAGACCAAGTCTGGCCTAATATAGGCTAGGCCGTAGGCCCTGTAGGCCGGCCTAACCTATTTACACCCTTACTTTGGGTTTGCTGAATCAACAGTTGTGTCATGTGCAATGGGCCAACTGTTAGTGCATCATTCTTCCCTACAAAATATTTGTCCTCGAATCTTGTTTATCTTCACTAATCTCAATTTCTTTAAACAAAAACTCAAATGACAAAAAAAAAAATAACAATTATTAAAAAATTTTAAATAAATAAATAAATAATAGAAAAGCGGGTGCATCATCTTGCTCCTTGGCTTCCTTCACAGCACGTTGGAATATTTGAAATGGCGCTTCGAAGGCATGTTGTACAATCATCACTTGTTAACTCGAGTACGCATTGTGCCATTCCGTACAGTGTCTGCGTCTTGGTGAATCCCACTTCGCCTGAAGCAAACTTCTTCTCAGACATGGAAGCTTTCGCTGCCAAATCGTTTAAGGAGCCAGCTAATAACTGATTGAATTGGTCATGGCTTGAGTTTATGATGCTTCCTTCATCGTTTAATGAAAATCTCGGAACGATGTTATTACAGGTGTTGTCGGAGTGACACAACATACACACATGGTACCAGATTATCGACTCTGTGTTGTTAGGACATAGACATGTTATGTTCATGGCTGCGGTGGCGACGCAGCCATGGCAGACGGCGGCGTTGACGTCTCCACGACAGAGAAAAAGACCGCGTACGACTGTCGAGAGTGCCTTGACCCACTGTGGTTCTGTAGAAACCACTATGGGACTGAAGTGAAGAGTTGGAGGTGAGAGAGGAGAGGAGGGTATTCAAGTTGGATTGATCATATTGAATAGGTGGATCATGGGTTGGTTTGACAAGAGGTTTGAATTGGTAAAAAGTGTGGTTTTTGCAGTAATGGGCAATGTAAGTGGGTGCTGATTCACTTGCAAGAATAAGCATACAGAACAGAAAGAAAAATGCTAATGGGTTTATAGAGAAGTTGAAGACAAGCATATTTAATCCAAGTTAACGCGAACTGGGTTACTGCAATATGAGTAATCTTGCACCTTCTGTTTTAATTTTCTGTTAAGAACAAACCTCGTACTTTCTTGTTTCTTTTTTGGTTTTCGTGTGTTAAGATATTATGCATTGATTTCAAAATTGTAAACGAGAATGCGCTCACGTGAGAGTTGATGCAATCCACCACCGACATGTGGTTTTTATAGCAAAAGGTCTGCGTCAGGGAACAAAGCCATTTTTTTTTTTTAAGATTTCACAGTTGATCCATTAATTGATTAATCCCTTAGCGTCGGGTAGAATCAATATTACTCCTATTAAATTTTGGTATTGAAGTTAAGTAATAAATACACAACTGTATTAAAAATTTGATAAGGGAAGGTTACGATGGAAATGATTCTAGCGAATCAGTGAATTAATGATCCACCTATGTGAAGAAGTAAAGTGCATGGTTGGCAAATTGAATTCGTGGAAAATGACGTTTGAAATGTGTGGGGCCTAGGTCAATGGGTATTGCTTCTATTCTACGGTGGGTTGGATAAATATAATTTGGGTTTGATGTATGTTTAGGGTTATCATAGACTTTTTTATTACAATTTTTTAACTCAAAACGACGTTGTTTTGGGAGCGAATGTCTACATTCACTCTAGAAACATTAAGTCATATTTTAAAGGACATAAATTATGTCATTTTAGCATAGAGATAGACAAACACAAAGAAAAGAAATTATAAGGGAAAAAATGGGTATTTTTTTAATTTAAATTTTAAATAAAAAAGATATTATTTTGTGTCTATCTTTTTCTTAAAATAACATAACTTTATATCATTTGAAATCACAAACACTTTTTCCTAATTTTCGAAATCACCATTTAGGTAAAAAGTTGACCACCCTCTTCTAAAATGAGTAAAATTATATTTCTCACAGTTCATGGGCTTCTTGTAATTTTTTTTTTTTTTTTGGAGAATGGCTTCTTGTAAATTTGATTGCTTGTATATAAACTAATTTGGATTACAGTTGCGCAATGTTTAACTCTGAATTGAGATTGATGGGTTTTTTTTTTTCTTGGAGTGTTTCATGAAAGAATGGTTTTTATGAAGGTACTACTAAGTTTATGTGCTGGTTTTGTCTTTCAGTACTTATCAGTGCTACTGCCAGTTATGTCTTGTTTTGCTACAAGCATTGCCATTGGAGGTGAGTGTAAGTTTTACTCAAAACGATTTAATAGCATACCAAGGGTGAATTTTTGTTTTCATCTTGGGGAACTAGACTACTGGTTGAAAATCAACCGAAGAAGAATTTGAAGCCCATGTTATATTTGATATATGACATCAATCAGGAATTTAAAACTGAAATGTGGTTTTTTATCCGAGTGTGTATTCATATGGTTTGAACAATCGACAATTAAAGTTCACAATTATAGGATACCTGAAATGTGGTTTTTTAACCCAATGAAAGCTCAACATGGATTTTGCTATATACTTTGGTAGTCTATCTTGCAGCCAAGAAGGCTAGTATTATAATAAGCCATTAATTATGGCATATGAGGCTGGTTCTTTTTTCTTTTTTTCTTTTTTCAATAGTATAAAAATTAGTCAACTTTGTAGATGTTGCCAATGATAGACACGTGTCAGGTAGATACCATAAACTACATACGCAGAAAAAGAAAAAGGTCATATTTGAAAGGCCCTGACATGGAAGAAATTTTACATAGGTTAGTCTTGGGCAAGATAACATAGGGGATAATTGCGCATTTTATATAAAAAGAAAAAATCATGAGGCATTTGACATGCCTGTATCTATCTAAGTGATTGTGTACAAGTCATCTTGATTGAGGAAAGAGATCATCCTCTGTTAATCAAGATAGACTAGAATAGCATTATTTTACATTTTCACATGGTATATCGTGCTAGGGATGGATTTATTCGAGTGAAAAGTTTATCTGAATAACTTCCTTTGGACTTTAGTGAACATGTTCTTCTGACAATTTTCATTTGCAGATAACCTTTTAAGATAGTCAGGAGCTTAATCTCCATTTTGTTGGCATCTTTGTGCTGCTCTAAGAATACTGTTTACTTTTGACAATAATTTGTTTCCAGATTTGGCGAGTCTTTGATGTCATTTTATCTTGGTTTTGCAAAGCATTACCCATGAAGAGAGGATTTAAGCAAGTCATGTACTGATATTTAATTAACAACGAAGCTGTCAAGGTACCAACTTGTAGGTCAGTAACCAATTAAAATGTGCTAATACACATTATTGTACCAATTTACATAGGCACAACTAAGAGAGTCCTGTTAATACATTCTACACCATCATCATTTGGATATTAAAAAACAAGTCTGATAGCAATTGTTGCATAGAATTTAAAACATTATAAACCACTGATCCATCAAAATGAATACCATCAATATTCAAATAACAATCATTTTAAAAACTGTCACTTAGTATTGATGAAGAAATCCTATTCTGATATGACACGACCAAAACTTCCAATTGGTTCATATTGAACAAAATCATGTCATATTCAACTAATTAGGAATTCCATCACTAGGGAATGATCATTCACCTTGTGAAGCAATAGCTGATCCTTGGATACTAGTATTCTGTCTACAAAAAGCATATACATGTGTAAGAATTCGATATATATGTCACTGCTATCTGCCAGGGCTGCATTATGGATCTTGTAATAATAGCCCAGAATGAAAAGCACCACGAAAACAATAACAAGGACATAAGACATTGCTATTTCCTGAACAAAGTAGTCAGATACAGAAAAATGAAGACATTATTATCAAGCACCTAACTTCCTCTCAAATTTCCCAGCATAATGAGAAGCCACAACATTTGTGAACAACATACCTAATCAGCGAGCAGGAACCATTGGCGGCAGACGATGTTGCTTTTATATTGTAAAATGGGTACAGTTCATACCTAATTTTACAAAAACCAGAAATGCACTGCGCCAGGCCATACAGGGTCTTGGACTTGCTGTGACGAACTTCTTATGTGTCTGGGAACTCGCAGCTTCTGCTACTAAATCATTCAACATACTGGCCAATGATGGATCAAACTGGTTCCGATCAGCGCTTGCTATGTTTTACTGATCTGAAACAAATTGGTGGAGACTGCAAATTATTATGGTCTCCAAGGGAATCATGCCTTTATCTATGCTGCATTTGCATCCAGCATGAGGATTATAAGGATTTAAAACCAAAAGAATCTGCACTCAGTGGTCGTAATTTTTACTATTCATCAAACAGAATTATTTTTAGCCACTAATAATTACAATACATATTGACTAGGTACGTGTAACATAACGGCATGGTTTGACAAGATTTGAACCTAAAGTGGATGGATTGAAGAAAACATAATAAAACCTATCCTTTATCGAGGGTATACTTCAGTAATGGATACTTCATTATTAGACCACAGAATTGAACTGGTGGCGGACTCATCAGAATGAAGCCCATTTTTTAGCCTGTTAGGTGTTCTTCCATGCAGGAAAGATGCTGGTTTTCGAGGTAATGACAAGGTAACTGAATAACTGTTCAACATAAGTGAAATAGTTGCCATCGAAGGCCTGTCGGATGGATTTTCCTGAATGCACAATAAACCAATATGGATGCATCTGATGACTTCATTTCTTGAATAAGAACCTCTCAGGGTTGGATCCAGCAACTCCAAAGGTGTTTGCTCCGTCCAATTTTTCCAAGCCTGTGGCAATATACTGTTAGTATTCAAATTTGGAATCTCTCATTCCTCACCATTGAAATATTTAACTAGGCATTGCAGTTGAGCTTGGTATCAATAGAGAAGAAGAAAGCAGTTACACTTGTTTATACTCACATAGCTTAGGAGGTCATCGGCATGTTTAGTTTGACAAAAATCAGTGTTCTTCTTGCCACTCACAATCTCCAAAACTAAGACACCAAAGCTGAACACATCTGATTTCACAGAGAATTGTCCACGCATTGCATATTCTGGAGACATGTAACCACTGAAAAAAAAAAATTATCAATCCACATGTTCAGAAAATAATGATAACATTTTTGGAAAGAAGAATATACTTCTTTTCACATATTTTAACTGACCATGATTATTAAAGGGGAGCTAATAATATATGTAATAGGAGATGACAAAAAGGCCTCAAACTTACTAAGTTCCAACTATCCTTCCTGTATTTACTTGAGTCTGATCTGCCTGGAAAATTTTTGCCATGCCAAAATCTGAAATCTTTGGGTTCATGTTTTCATCTAGTAGAACATTGCTAGCTTTTAGATCACGATGTATAATTAGAAGCTGGGAATCTTCATGGAGATAAAGAATTCCTCGAGCAATACCAACAATGATCTTGTAGCGTCTTGACCAATCTAACTCTCTTTGCTTTACAGGATCTACAGAATTTGTCAAAATGAAATATCCAGATTAGCAATTGCAGGATTACTATAATTTCCGTTTATAAAGAGCTTATAACCCCATCTTATGTGGCTGTTCTTTAATAAGGGAAAAGATAACACCATGTGAATACTATAAAGTGATTCTACTTTTGAGGTGTCTTTTCAGGGCAACCAATCATCTATACTAATAAAGAAGTAAAAGAAGAGTTGAAAGTGTCCAACCAAATAGAAAACGATCAAGGCTTTTGTTTGGTATGTATTCATAGATAAGCATCTTCTCCTGCCCCTCCAAGCAAAATCCCAACAGCCTCACTAAATTTCTATGTTGAAGCTTAGCCACAAGGATAGCTTCATTCATAAATTCTATTGTACCCTGCAAGGAGGTTACCGACAACCTCTTCACAGCTATCTCCTGTCCGTTAGGGAGGATACCCTAAAAACAAGCACGGGATTAGACCAATTTACTTAATTTAGCATACAAAAATATGCATCAGTATTTTGCATAAACATGCTTCTTACCTTATAAACCACACCAAATCCACCCTGGCCGATCTTGTTTTCATCCGCGAAGCTGTTTGTGGCAGCTTCAACTGTAGCCAAGTCAAATTGCAAGGACTCCACATCTATAAGATCATCCCCAACTACTTAATAAATAAAGACATTATTTATCAGCAACCAAATTACAATCAAGGCAACAAAATTAACCGGAACAATCACTATGACTGAAAAGGAGAGATTACTCGAGTCCCGTCTGAAACTGTTATACTTCTTGCTTGCCCTCTTACGCATGAAGCAGCATCCGAGAATGAAAAGTGCCACGACAACAACAATTGGGACAACAATCGCAACAATCATAGAGATATTGCTTTTTCCTGCACAAGTTAATAAATTTCTAAGACACTGCAAAAAGAAGGGGTCATTAGATGATCTGAGGATGTTATATTAAGTGTGATACCGGATGAAGGAGACGAAAGCTCTGGTTGAGTCGATACCGCGGAGGCATTGTAAAATGGGTACAATTCGTATCTGATATTACAACCCGGAAGCAGGGTTCTTGCACCTCGTTTCCCACTACAGCAACTTGGAAGAGCACTAATGGCGCTTGAGAAACACTTGTTACACTCAAAAGTGGACAAATCGGGCGTGCACTGTGCCAGTGTGTAGAGCTTCATTGAGCTCGTGAAATCTGCTTCTTTTGCAGCAAACTTCTTATCCGAAGGAGAATTCACAGCTTTCTGTGTTATATCATTCAACGTGGATGCCAGTAAATCATTGAACTGGGTAAAGTCTGAGTCAGGGACACTATCATCCGCCACCAAGTTTATTCCTGGGACTACGTTGTCTAAGGTACTGTCGGAGGAGTAACGGAGCATACAAACGTCGTACCAGATGATGGAGACTGTTTGGTTGGTGCAGAAGCGTGTAATGTTCATGGCTGCGGCGGTGACACACTGTTGACAGACGGTGGGGGTGACGTCACCGCGGCAGAGAAAGAGTCCCTTGACCTGGCCAGGGTTTCCGAGGGAGATGTTGGTGCTGTAGAAACCGTCGTGGAGGGTGGCGTTGGAGACAAGGGATGAGAGGAGGACTTTTAAGTTGGCTTGGAACGTTGTGTTGGGTTGGTAATAAGATCCATTTGTGCACACAGAATAGCTGTATATTGGAGCTGCTTGACTTGCAAAGCTTAATAACGCAAACAGAGAGAGAAGTAGCAAGTGGGTTGCAGAGGATTTGAAGATACACATCTCTCTCTCTCCCTTGCTTTACTTTCTCAAAGGGAGAAATGGGTACTGTGAATGAATAGCGATAGCAATAGCCCTTTATTCTACGGTATTAGGTTATTCATTAGACTGATGTGGATTGGTGTGGATGAAGACTTGTATGAGGAAAATGTTAAAGATTGACTGCGACTAATACTAGTCAATAAGTCAATGAAGCAACTTTTTCAATTGGACAGTGCGGGACAAGTTGGATTGCTTTGACCATCAAACGGGACGAAGGGTGAGGCTCATGAAGATTTTTTTTATTTTTTTTTTCCCTTTTTGGTTAGGGCTCTTGTTAAAAGGGGACAAAAAAATATAATTTGTTTTTTTAATTTATTCTAAAGTATTTAAATTTCTTTAAATGTAGGATTTAAAATTAATAATAAAATAATTTATTTAAATTTAAAAATTATTTTTTAATTACATTTGTAAGTTTTTCAAAGATAGTTTTTTGATGTCATTTTATCTTGGTTTTGCAAAGCAATACCCATGAAGAGAGATTTAAGCAAATTATATGTACTGATATTCAATTGACAAGGACGTTGTCAAGCTACCAACCAGGAGGTCAGTAACCAATTGAAATGTGCTAATACACTTTATGGTACCAAATTACCAATATACATAAGCACAACTAAGAGAGTCCTGTTGTTACCCCTAAAAAAAATTCGTAATTATGTTCTGCTAGTTTACTATGTGTTTAATGAAGAATAACATATCTGTAGCACTACATTGTACACCATCAGTATTTGGATATTAAAAACAAGTCTGATAGCAATTGATGCATAAAATTTTAAACATATTAAACCACTGATCCTTCAAAATGAATACCATCAATATTCAAATAACAATCATTTTAAAAACAGCCACTAATGATGAAGAAATCCTATTCTTATATGACACCACCAAAACTTACTATAGGTTCATATATAGCAAAATCATGTTGAATTCAACTACTGAGGAATTCCATCACTAGGGTAGGGAATGATCATTCACCCTGTGAAGCAATAGCTAATTGGAGTCGGTATATATATATAATATATATATATAAAGTAATGAGGAAGGGAAAAGAAAAGGGAAGGGGGAAGATGAAGAAAAAAAGGATTAAAAATAGACTATCTGAAATATAGAAATAACAATGGGTCTAACTCTCCATCATACATAAGAATAACTTCGCTTATGTGTTGAGATATAGAAATAATAATGGGTCTAACTCTCCATCATACATAAGAATAACTCCGCTTATGTGTAGGGGTGTGCAAAATAACCAAAAAATTGAACCGAATCGCCCCTTAAAATAACCGGTTTTTAAAAACCAGTTCATGAACTGAACCGGTTTTTAAAGAACCAGTTCATGAACTGAACCGGTTCTATTCTTAGAACCAGTTTAACAACCGAACCATTTTGAACCGAACCACTTCCGAAGCGAACCGAACCGTTTCCAAACCGAACCAAATTGATTTTTATAACTTTATTTTTTACATTATAATTTTTTTTTCTTTTCAAAAGAGGGTCGACCCGAACCGGTTCCAGACCGAACCAAACCGTTTTCAACCGAATCGAACCACTTCCACCGAACCAGTTTTGTACCGAACCGAACCATTTAAACCAATTCGGTTCGGTTTTTCAAAAAAATCCAGTTCGGTTCGACCCATGCACATCCCTACTTATGTGTGCTTACATACATGGTTTGTCCCAAGCCAGAATAAAGGAAGAGGGTTGGCGTCAGATGTAGCGAGCCGACCATAAAAAAAACAGCTATATTTATGAGATGAACCCTTATGAGATCCTTGATACTAGTTATTTTTAAAAAAAAAAATCAATTCTCATTAAACCTCAACTAGCGAAGGTGAGATGGGAACAATTCTTGTATACAACTTAACATTGCATATTTGCAAAGAGGCTATTTTCCAAATTCGAACCTAGAACATTCCAATCATAAAGGAGTAACTTTGCCACTTCTCAAGGCTCGTCCTCTTTTGATCCTTGATACCAGTATTGTGTTTACAAAAAGCGAGGAGATGAAGGAGAAGAGGGGAAGGGGGATGAAGAAGAAGAGGACTAAAAAGGGACCATCTGAAACATAGGAATAACAACGGGTCTAACTCTCCATCATGCATAGGAATAACTCCGCTTATGTGTGCTTGCATACATGGTCTGCCCTCAGCTAGGATAAAGGAGAAGGATTGGCATCAGGTGTTGCTAGCCGGACGTAAAAAACAGTGATATTTATGAGATGAACCCTTATGAGATCTTGATACTAGTTATAAAAAAAGAAAAATCAATTCTGATTAAATCCCAACTAGCGAAGGTGAAATGAAAATAATCCTTGTACGTAGCCTTACCGTTACATATTTGCAAAGAGACTGTTTTTCGAATTTGAACATATAACATTCCAATCCCAAAGGAATAATTTTACCACTACTCGAGGCTATTCCTCTTTTGATCCTTGATACTAACATTGTGTCTACAAAAAAACAATACATGTGTAAGAATTGGATATGTTACTGCTATCTTCAAATGCTGCATTATGGATCTTGTAATAATAGCCCAGAATGAAAAGCACCACAAAAGCAATAACAAGGACATGAGACATTGCTATTTCGTGCCCAAAGTATTCAGATACAGACAAATAAAGACATATTATTATCAAGCACCTAAGGTAGTGTTTGGTTCGGGAGAAATTTTTTTTTACTAGGGAAATGTAATTGATAGGGAAATGGAAGGAAAGTAAGTTTGGTAGGAAAGTTTAAAAAAAGTTGTTTGGTTGAGTAAAATTTTCTAGGAAAATTAAGTGAAATAACAGAATGAAGTGTTTGGTTCAATATTTTATATTGATGGGAAAGTAACGGAAATTACAAAACTATCCTTTTTTAAAATTGCCCTTTATACCAACGATTGTCCAAACGGTAATAATAATAACTTGTTGTGTGAATCTATTGGAATGTCACCAAATTTGCAGTTTAACATATCACCAAATGTTTCTCGTTCATTAAAAAAAAATTAAAAAATGCTCTCGTCACTCTTTTTCAACTCACCTACAGCCATTGGGTTACTTCATTTGAGCATAAGAATAGAGTTGAAAAAAACAACAATTAATAGTGTAAGACAGATAACATGGAAGAATGATAAATATTATCTAATATTAACTATATGTCTTTCTTTAATACAGATGTAAGTGTACATTTATCAAACACTGCCATCAAAAGTGTAAATAATTGACGACCCTTGAATACTATAAAAAAGGTCCTATTCTGAGTACCCTCTTAATTATGAGCATATCACAAATGTGAAGGAAAACTCCTCAGATTACAGACCAGCAAGGCACTGTAATTAACAGACTCTAAAATGAAGCAACAAAACAAGGAAATGACGAATTACAGACTCTATACTTTACTGCTATTATCACTCTCATATTCCAACCACCATCTACAACACAAACCCGTTTCTTGGACAATCTGAGCATCTTTTCGGCCTGTCTCACTACGCACCTCATCATCATGTCTCTGAGCCATGCTTGGCTGTTGGGCTGCACCTATTTTAAACCTCTTCCTTGTATATTTTTGTGGGAAAGGCTCCAATGGTCCATCATGAACTCACGAGAAGCTTAGCTAACTTTCTGCTTGGCCATGTCCATATGTTCTTCCAAGTCAAATTTAGCATACAAATCCTTCAATTGCAATCATAACTGTAGTTTGTCGAACAAGAATCTCCAATGTCATAACGAACTTTAGAAAGCAAGCTAAAATGAACACCACCAACCTGATTTATCAAAAATATATGCTCTGTATTATTTTGAAACTTATAAGCAACTGATAGCATAACCAAGGCCATACAATTATTACAATATTAAAAAAGGAAAAAGAAAATACCACAGCAACTGGAATATCCAATAAAGACCGCAGTTTTGCATGTAAGGCATATGTACCATTACAATATATGCTCTTTTGCTGATAGTCAAACTCTGGGATTAATGTATCATTGCCTTTTGTCAAATCCTAATTGCAACAGATAAGCCTTTTAACAAAGCATAAAATAAAAATAAAATAAAACTTTGCACAAAACTAGAATGAAGACTCATTTGCATTTCTTACTAAATCCATAAGCTAGTCCCAGACAGTATATTTTAAATTGACACATAATCTAACCAGATTCAGTCACAAAGAAAACAAGCAGATAATCACTTAACCAACAGTCTAACACGACAAATCAGCAGCAACTAATGCCTTTCTATTCTTATTCTTCTTTATCTTTTTACTTTTTCTCTTTTGATAATGTTATTGCGGGTCAGAACCAGATTCCAGAGACTGCATTTTGTCGATATAACAATATATAAAGCATGAAACAGCCAAATAAATGATAGTAAAATTTAAGGGGATAGTAAAGATCAGCCTTGAAAACCATCAAGGCCATATATACGGCCAAACAGTACTTATTTTGATTTTCCTTGTGTTAATTTTTACATAAATACTGTCAAGGATCTGTCAAAAATCGGATTAAAAATTACAAAGAACAACTTATACCTCCTCATGTGCATTGTGGCAATCATATTCACATGCAGAATCACAACTTGGCAAAGGTCTTTGGCCACTGTTAAAATTATAGTTTGCAAGAATGAACTACTCTTAAACATACGACCATGACTCCAACAGCTATGTACATTCTTACCGAAATATTGTGAAGAAAACTGGCCAAAATAAGAGGATTCCTTGACTCTACCTAGGGCGCTGGTATTGATCCAAGCAGCTTGTCCGTCGCGGTAGATCCGGTTCACGGGAGTCTTCTTTAACTAGCTATGAAAGAGGAAAATGCTACGAAAGAAAAGAAAAATTAAACGCAAGTACAAAATGAAACTAGACACTTTTGGTTGATTCCAAAACAGACAGATGATTACCTCAAAACCGAACACAACCATCTGGGTTTCGTTAGTTATGGTGAGGTTTCGTTTCAGAACAGCACGAAGAAGATTGTGAATGATGAAATATGGCACGCGATGAGATATAGCTTCGGTCCACAAATCGAAGTCACACAGCAATTCGGATTTTTTGGTATATGTGGCTGAGAATATCTCACTCACATTAGGATAAGAAGAGGGGTAAATAAGTCACACTTTTCATCCCCAAAACGAGTTGTCCGGTATTCTCAACAATTCCACCATCCAAAAGGGCTTCTTCAACAGTGCAAATATCCAATTTTTACACACGGATGTCGATTGCTAGGGAAGCGACTTTGATGGACAAATTTCAGCTTCTCCCTCAACCAAACGTGGACATATGAGATACCTACATGCACTTTGCTAGGAAAATCTCCAGATGCCCCGAACCAAACACTACCTAACTTCCTCTCAAGCTTCCCAACATAATAAGAAGCCACAACATTTGAGAACAACATATCTAATCAGGGAGCAGGAACCATTGGCGGCAGATGATGTTGCGCTTATATTGTAAAATGGGTACAGTACATACCTAATTTTACAAAAACCAGAAATGAACTGTGCCAAGCCATTCTGGGTCTTGGACTTGCTGTGACGAGCTTTTTTAAGTGTCTGGGAACTCGCAGCTTCTGCTACTAAATCATTCAACATGCTGGTCAATGTTGGATCGAACTGATTCTGATGAGCAATTGCTCTGTTTTGCTGTTCTGAAACGAATTGGTCGAGACTGCAATTTGTTCTAGTCTCTCCAAGGGCATCAAGCCTCTATCTATGTTGCATGTGCGTCCAGCATGAGGATTGTAAGGACTTAGAACCAAAAGAATCTGCACTCAGGGATCATAATTTTTACTATTGATCCAACAGAAGTAATTTTAAACTATTAGAAAAATATAAAATCATTAATATAATATTATTAAGAGTTTAAATTTTTAGATTAAATTAATTTTTTATAAAATATCAGAATCTCATATCATGAACTTGATATGCTCTTATTTAATTAAAATAAATATTATAATTTTTTTTAACATAAATAGGTAAATTTATGCATTAATTATTCATCCTTCAAGTCAAATAAATTTTCATACTTTTATGTAAAGTGACGTGTTAGGAAAATATTAAATTTTTTGATTGAATTAGATTTTACAAATATTTACAACACGTATCGACAAGGTACGTGTAACATAAGTACATAACGGCATGGTCTGACAAGATTTGACCATAAAGTGATGGATAGAAGAAAACATTAAAAAAGAAGGGGGAAAAAACGATCCTTTATCGAGGGTATACTTCAGTAATGGATACTTCATTATTAGACCACGGAATTGATGGAATTGAACAGTTGGTGGACTGATCAGAATCAAGCCCATTTTTTAGCCTGTTAGGTGTTCTTCCATGCAGGAAAGATGCTGGCTTTCGAGGTAATGACATGGTAACTGTATAACTGTTCAACATAAGTGAAATAGTTGCCATCGAAGGCCTGTCAGATGGATTTTCCTGAACGCACAATAAACCAATATGGATGCATCTGATGACTTCGTTTCTTGAATAAGAATCTCTCAGGGTTGGATCCAGCAATTCCAAAGGTGTTTGCTCTGTCCAATTTTTCCAAACCTGTGGCAATAAAATGTTAGTTTTCAAATTTGGAATCTCTCATTCCTCACCCATTGAAATATTTAGCTACGCATTGCAGCTGAGCTTACAGAAAGCAGTTACACTTGTTTATACTCACATAGCTTAAGAGGTCATCAGCATGTCCAGTTTGATAAAAATCAGTGTTCTTCTTGCCACTCACAATCTCCAAAACTAAGACACCAAAGCTGAACACATCTGATTTCACAGAGAATTGTCCACGCAATGCATATTCTGGAGACATGTAACCACTGAAAAAGAGCATTATCAATCCATAGATTCAGAAAAGAATGGTAACTTTTTTGGAAAGAAGAATATACTTCTTTTCGCAGATTTTAACTGACTATGAATATAATGTAAGCAACTACTATATGTAAGAGGACATGACAGAATGGCCTGAGTGAGACTTACTAAGTTCCAACTATCCTTCCTGTATTTACTTGAGTCTGATCTGGCTGGAAAATTTTTGCCATGCCAAAATCTGAAATCTTTGGGTTCATCTTTTCATCCAGTAGAACATTGCTAGCTTTGAGATCACGATGTATAATTCTAAGCTGGGAATCTTCATGGAGATAAAGAATTCCTCGAGCAATACCAACAATGATATTGTAGCGTCTTGACCAATCTAACTCTCTTTGCTTTACAGGATCTACAGAATTTTGTCAAAACGAAATATCCAGATTAGCAATTGTAGGATTACTACAATTTCCGTTTATTAAAAATCTTATAACCCCCTCTTATGTGGCTGTTCTTTAATAAGGATAAAGATAACACCATGTGAATACTATAAGTGATTCTACTTTCGAGGTGTCTTTTCAGGGCAATCAATCATCTACACCAATAGAGAAGAAAAAGAAGAGTTGAAAATGTCCAACCAAATAGAAAGCGATCGAGGCTTTTGTTTGGTATGTATTCATAGATAAGCATCTTCTCCTGCCCCTCCAAGCAAAATCCCAACAGCCTCACTAAATTTCTATGTTGAAGCTTAGCCACAAGGATAGCTTCATTCGTAAACTCTACTGTACCCTGCAAGGAGGTTACCGACAACCTCTTCACAGCTATCTCCTGTCCGTTAGGGAGGATACCCTAAAAACAAGCACGGGATTAGACCAATTTACTTAGTTTAGCATACAAAAATATGCATCAGTATTTTGCATAAACATGTTTCTTACCTTATAAACCACGCCAAATCCACCTTGGCCGATCTTGTTCTCATCCGCGAAGCTGTTTGCGGCAGCTTCAACTGTAGCCAAGTCAAATTGCAAGGACTCCACATCTATAAGATCATCCCCAACTACATGATAAAGAAAGACATGATTTATCAGCAACCAAATTACAATCAAGACAACAAAATTAACAGAACAATCACTATGACTGAAAAAGAGAGATTACTTGAGTCCTGTCTAAAACTGTTATACTTCTTGCTTGCCCTCTTACGCAGGAAGCAGCATCCGAGAATGAAAAGTGCCACGGCAACAACAATTGGGACAACAATCGCAACAATTATAGAGATATTGCTTTTTCCTGCACAAGTTCATCAATTTCTAAGACACCGCAAAAAGGAGGAGTTATTATCCGATCTGAGGATGTTATATTAAGTGTGATACCTGATGAAGGAGACGAAAGCTCTGGTTGAGTCGATACCGCCGAGGCATTGTAAAATGGGTACAATTCGTATCTGATATTACAACTCGGAAGCAGGGTTCTTGCACCTCGTTTCCCACTACAGCAATTTGGAAGAGCACTAATGGCGCTTGAGAAACACCTGTTACAATCAAAAGTGGACAAATCGGGCGTGCACTGTGCCAGTGTGTAGAGCTTCATTGAGCTCGTGAAATTTGCTTCTTTTGCAGCAAACTTCTTATCCGAAGGAGAATTCACAGCTTTCTGTGTTATATCATTCAACGTGGATGACAGTAAATCATTGAACTGGGTAAGGTCTGAGTTGGGGACGCTATCATCGGCCTTTAAGTTCATTCCTGGGACTATGTTGTTTAAGGGGAAGTTGTCGGAGTAACGGAGCATACAAACGTCGTACCAGATGATGGATTCTGTTTGGTTGGTGCAGAAGCGTGTAATGTTCATGGCTGCGGCGGTGACACACTGTTGACAGACGGTGGGGGTGACGTCACCGCGGCAGAGGAAGAGTCCCTTGACCTGGCCAGGGTTTCCGAGGGAGATGTTGGTGCTGTAGAAACCGTCGTGGAGGGTGGCGTTGGAGACAAGGGATGAGAGGAGGACTTTTAAGTTGGCTTGGAAAGTTGTGTTGGGTTGGTAATAAGATCCATTTGTGCAGTCATGAGCGCTGTATATTGGAGCTGCTTCACTTGCAAAGCTTAGCAACGAAAACAGAGAAAGAAGTAGCAAGTGGGTTGCAGAGGATTTGAAGATACACATGTCTGTCTCTCCCTTGCTTTACTTTCTCAAAGGGAGAAATGGGTACTGTGAAAAGCAATAGCTCTTTCTTCTACGGTATAAGGTAGATTCTGGTGGATGAAGATTTTTATGAGGAAAATGTTAAACATTGACTGCGACTAATACAAGTCAATAAGTCAATGAAGCAACTTTTCTTAATTGGACAGTGCGGGACAAGTGTCAAATATAGGATTAGATTTAAGATGAAACTGGATAAAGGGTAAGGCTCACCAATAGTTTTTTTTTTTTAAATAAAAAAAGATAATGTTTTATTCGTTTACCATGTCACAACCAATTTTACTACGTACACATAATAGTGGGCTCGTCAATTCTTTTATTTTAAAAATAGTGGCCCCCACAATTGATTATCTCTACGACATGATCTAAGAATTTTCCTACAACGTAATACTTATTTTTCTCATAAATAAGTAAATAAAAATAAATGAAATAAATAAAAATAAGAATTTTTTATTTTATTTCTAAAGTATTTAAATTTATTTAAATATATGAATTTAAATTAATAATAACAATTTATTTAAATTTAAAAAATTATCCTTTAATAACATTTGTAAGTTTTTCAAAGATAATTTTTTGAGGTAAATTATTTCAGAGAGAGAAATTTTTCGAATTCATTTAAAAAAGGATGTAATATCTCAACAAGAAAAAGAATTTATCGGTTCGGAACAGGATGATGGGTGCGGCGGGACAAGCATAATTTATTCATTTACAGGATTCACCGACAAATTTAAGATGAAGCGGTTGAAAAGGGCTCTATCGCGGATTTTTGAAGTGTTAATGTATCAATTTAATATTTAATTCATGATATTTTTTAATATTGGTTATTTGGTGAGGTGAGGGGAACCTTTGTTAGTGCCCCGCGACCCTCTTTCCATATCACTCACATATATTTATTTATTTTCAATTAAGTGACGCTTCCCTTAGGGATCATAGGATTGTGTCAAGTAGAACAATTTCGTTAGTTCTGTTGTCGTAAAATTTCGAAAGGTCATAATTTTTGACTCGGCTATCCAAATCTGATATTTTTTTTATTTCACATAACTTTTTAAGATCTACGCAATGACACCCAATTTAACATATTTTATTTTCTATTGACATAGTAGAAATTTGCAACAATAACTTCATATTTTTACAATTCCAAACTATGTTTATGAGAGATAAAATATGTCAAATAAGGTATCATTACGTAGATTTCAAAAAGTTATGTGAAATTGAAAAAAAATCATCTCATTTGGATACTCGAGCCAAAAGTTATGGTATTCCGAAATTTTACGGTAACAAGATTAATAAAATTGTTTCACTTAATTCAATTCTATTAGTAGTGCCCTGGAAAAAGGAATGTCACTCAATTGAAAATAAAAATAAAAATGTGTGAGTGACGCGAAGGGAGGGTCGCGACACTCAATGACATTGAGTTCCACTCACGTCACTGGATGACCTCAACTTATCGTAAAATCAAATATCAAATTGATAAATATTGGGAAAAATATTTGTTCTTTTAAATGACACTACTTATATCCTTTCACTCTCACAAAGAGGTGAGACCCACACCTTTATATTTTTTTGTCCACTCTCTCCTCCTTTATCTATATTTTTCTCTCACTTAAGATGATACAACTTTACGTCCTTTAAAACAATACACGCTTTTTCATAAATATTTTACGTAAAAACTTCGAATGAGTCAAAGAGCCGTTGAAAAGTCCTTAGCTTATGCATAGTTTTTTTATTTTTTTTTTAGTTTCTTTAAAAGAAGAATTTCGAACGAATAATAACTCAATTTAATTTTTTTTATTTTCAAAAATAAGAGTATAAAGAAAAATTAAAATTTTATTTTTCTTTATACTCTATTTTTGAAAAAAAAATGTATTAAATGATATTTTATTTTAAGATTTAAAATTTCTCATAAAAGAGAAAAAAATATTTCTTAGACACATAAAAGTATGTAAAGTCACGTGGACAAAATTTAGATTTTATATATTTTTATGTGTACAGTAGATAATTTTATGTTTCCTACAATATTAGAAACTTTATACCTTTTATTTTTTTAGAATCATTATATTGTCTACCTATTTAATCTTATTTTATCATATAAAAATGGTGCTAAAAAATTGTAATGTCAGAAATCAGAATAATATAACGCTTGCAATTGCTTTTATATGGATGGATTTGGAATCAAAACATCTTTGATTAATTGTTTGTGAGAATTTTTGTCTGCAGTCGGAAAATCTAACAGAGAAAAGGTTAGAGCAATCTACTGCGCTTGTGAATAGTGAAAGACATGAGCATAGTGACTTAATTGGAGGCAAGAGTTTGGTGCTTCCAAATCTAAATTCATCTAAACAACTCTATTTTTAAATCAAAACAGTGTGACTCAATGTCAAATAAAAGACCTCAGTGATCTCATTTGATTTATTGTACCTCAACTGAGGTGTATTTATACAAGGCTATGAGTAACAAACTCATATATACAAAAGGAAACAGAATAAACAAATCCCTATACAGAGGGTAACTATCTAATTTGTTACAACTTACCATAAAATAATTAACTACTCAGAGAATAACAAACTATACAATTTGAATTTTAAATCTTCTAGCTCAACACTCCCCCTCAAGTTGGTGCAAAGATATCAATCATGCCCAACTTGTCACATGTTTCATGTAAAGCTTTTCCAGATACAGCCTTGGTTAGTACATCTGCCAATTGTTTCTCAGATCGGATAAAGGGAAAATGAATTACACCTTGACTTAATTTTTCCTTGATAAAATGTCTATCAACCTCTACATGTTTAGTCCTATCATGTTGTACTGGGTTGTGAGCAATCTCAATAGCAGCCTTATTATCACAATGCAGGTTCATTGGTTCTTTACTTTCAATTCCAAGATCTTTAAGAACACTTTTAATCCACAGCAACTCACAAACACTATGTGCCATTCCCCTGAATTCAGCTTCCGCACTAGATCTTTGAACGACTTTCTGTTTTTTGCTTTTCCAAGACACCAAGTTACCTTCTAGAAATGTGAAATAACCAGAAGTTGACTGTCTAGTTGTTTTATCCCCTGCCCAATCTGAATCCGAATATCCCTCAACATGGGTAATATTCTTTTTTGAATAAAGAAGTCCTTTTCCCGGAGTCCCCTTCAAGTACCTGAGAATTCGAAAGACAGCCTCCATGTGATCAATACTGGGAGCATGCATAAATCTACTTACAACACTTACTGCATAGGCTATGTCTGGCCTAGTGTGAGATAGATAAATTAATCTACCTACCAATCTTTGGTATCTTCCTATATCCGCAGCAACTTGGTTGGGAAAGATGCCAAGTGTATGATTCATCTCCATTGGTGTTTCGGTTGGCTTACACGCTAACATCCCTGTTTCTGTTAATAAATCCAAGATATACTTCCTTTGAGAGAGAAATATCCCTTGTTTTGATCTTGAGATCTCAATCCCAAGAAAATATTTAATTTCTCCTAAGTCCTTCATTTCAAATTCTGTGTTCAAGTATCTCTCCAACCTCTTCATTTCATCCAAGTCATCTCCAGTTAAAACCATGTCATCCACATATACTATCAAAGCTGTGACCTTTCCTTTTTGATGCTTTATAAACAGGGTGTGATCTGCATTGCTTTGGATGTACCCATAATTCCTCATAACCGATGAAAACCTCCCAAACCAAGCTCTTGGTGATTGTTTGAGGCCATAAAGTGCCTTTTTTAGCTTACATACTTTCGGTTCTGTGTTAGGCTGAATGCTAATTCCAGGAGGAATGTCCATATATACTTCCTCTTCAAGGTCTCCATTCAAGAATGCGTTCTTCACATCAAATTGTTTGAGTGGCCAATCCCTATTGGCTGCTAAAGATAACAGAATACGAATAGTATTTAATTTAGCCACTGGAGCAAATGTTTCTTGGTAGTCAATGCCATACTTTTGCGTGAATCCTTTTGCTACTAGTCGCGCCTTGTATCTATCAATATTTCCATCTGCTTTTAATTTGATAGTGTACACCCACTTGCATCCGATGGTTCTTTTTCCTTGAGGAAGAGGGACCAATTCCCAAGTTGATTTTTTTCTAAGAGCTTTCATCTCTACATTCATAGCTTCTTTCCACTTTGGGTCACTTAAGGCTTCCTGAACATTGTTAGGAATGCATACAGTAGATAATTGATTCACAGTCATAGCATATGAGTTAGATAACCTATGAGTTGATACATAATTGGAAATAGGATATTTGGTGTTTGTTTTGATGTCAGGTTCATATAGTGTCTTAGGAATGCCTTTATTTGATCTGTGGGATATTCGGTTAGGCAATGCATTCAAGATATGTGTGGACAGATTTAAGTCGGATGAAATCAATGGTAAGGAATCAGAAATTACCTCTGTTATCACTGTGTTGTCTGTATTTGAAGATTCAGGAACACCTCCAGATGAATAATCAGTTATTGGGGTTAAATGTGGAGATTCATCATGAGAATCTGATGCTGTGTTTGAAGGAAATATAGGTGCAGGAGTTTCTGTTGTAGTAGAAAGTATCAAGTCTGGTGTAGAAGAAGAGTTAGAACTTGGTAATATCTCAAAACAGAATTCTCCTCCAGTATTAAACGTTTCCCCCTGAGGAGAAGTCCCAAGAACTCCCCCTGAAAAATAAGGTTCCCATTCATGAAAAGAAACATCCAAGGTGACATGTACTTTATGAAGAAGTGGATCAAAGCACCTGTAACCTTTTTGAGTATCAGAATAGCCAACAAAAATGCATTTAGTGGCAGAAGGATCTAATTTATGTCGCAGAACCTTAGGTTTATGAACATAAGCAGAACAACCAAATATGTGGGGTTCCAAATTTGAAATGTGGGGAATAGAAAAAAAAGACTCCAAGGTTTGCTGGGGAGTTTTAAAATTTAAAACACTAGACGGTGTCCTATTAATAAGATAGGCAGCAGATAAAAGAGCTTCTCCCCAATATTTCTTAGGAACATGCATGCCAATTAGAGATGCCCTTACAACTTCTAACAAGTGTCTATTTTTTCTCTCAGCCAAACCATTTTGTTGAGGGGTATAGGTGCATGAAGTTTGATGTTTGATGTCATGATCACTTAAAAAGGAAGTGAATGGTGTATTTAAATATTCAGTCCCATTATCTGTTTGCAAAATTTGTATCTTGGACTGGAATTGAGTAGTGACCATAGCAAAAAAAATTTTAAATGCAGTAAAGACCTCACTTTTGGTTTTTAAGAGACTGACCCAAGTTACACGGGTACATTCATCAATAAATGTGACAAAGTAATGAGCTTGAGAGAAAGATGGTTCCTTGGAGGGACCCCACACATCCGAATGGACCACTTGAAAAGGGACATGACTTTTATTCAAACTTGGAAAATAGGAAACACGATGGCTTTTAGCCAATTTACAAGTGGTACATTGAAAATCTGCCTTATTTAACTGAGAAAATAATTTGGGAAACAACTTTGCTAAGTAACCAAAAGAGGGATGTCCTAAACGGTGATGCCAAAGCCAAAGGGAGGCACGAGCTTCATTATTAGCAAAAGTGAGGAAGGATTGCACAGCCAGGGAATCAGGTGAGAAGCCAAGATCCAAAAAATAAAGCTGCCCACGCTTAACACCATAACCAATTTTCATCTTTGTTGAGATGTCCTGAAAAACACAGAATTCAGGCCAAAAAGAGATAGTGCAGTTCAATGAGGCAGTAATTCGATTAACAGATAGCAAGTTAAATTCCAAAGAAGGGACAACCAAAACAGAATCCAAATATAAATGGGGTGATAAGGAGAGGGAGCCTTTGCCAGTAATAGGAGCAGTACTACCATTGGCTGTGGAAATGAAAGGTAATGAACATGGACTAAAATTATGTAACTCAGAGGCATCTCGGATCATATGATCGGAGGCACCGGTATCAATTACCCAAGTATGATTTCTAAACAAAGCAGAGAAAGTATAAGGATTACCGAAAGGACCCTGATGAGTCACGAGGGCAGCAGGTGCAGGGGATTCAGCTGTTTGAGCAACAGGGGCAGTAGGTTCATTAGGGGTAGCAGCAGCAACAGCAGCAACCGGGGGTTTTCGCTTTGGTTGTTTGGTGAAGTCCCACCATTCGGGATAGCCAATCAATTCGAAGCATCGCTGCTTAGAGTGACCAGTAGCTCCACAATGTAGACAAACATACTGATTTGATTTTCCAGAAGAAGAAGAAGACTTACGAGATTTTTGAGGGCCACGTGTAATTAAGGCAGTAGACTCCAGGGAAGGGCGAGCATGATCCATGGTTTGGCGTTAAGTAAATTCGCGACGTACGAAGGCATACGAACTCTCCAGATCGAGTTTGGGTTCCTTGCGCAAAATTTCTCCGCGGACATTGTCGAACTCAGAGTCTAATCCACTGAGGAAAATATGGACTCGAAGTCGGGCCATAGCAGAATGAAGATGAACGACACCGTCAACAGTGGACATCTGAGAGTGGCTGCGGTGATCTATTTCCTGGAAAATTGCCAGGAGTTCGTTGTAGTAGGTGGCTAAGGGTCGGCCGTTCTGTTTTGTGGTGAAGGAACGTTGATTCAATTCAAAGAGGCAGGTTTCATCGGATCCATCATAGAAGGTCCGCTTGCAAGCCTCCCAAATCTCCTGAGCAGTGTCGAGGCGCAGGAAACGGGGCATAAGAGAGGGATGCATGGAGTCAATGAGCCAACTCTTGACTCGCATGTTGTCGGTCACCCAGCCAGCGAAACCAGGATCGTCGGGCGTGGGCTGTTTCGTGGTTCCGGTGAGATAGCCATGCTTGTTCCTAGCACCAATTCGCATATCCATGAGTTGTGACCACAATGGATAATTTGATTCATCAAGGATAATGGATACTGGGAAAGATGAGTTATCTTGGTGAATGATGATGGGTGGGGAGACGCTAGAGGAAGAAAGGGGTGGGTCAGTGTTGGCAACGAAGGTAGGGTTGGAATTGGGATTTTCGTTTTCGGGAGATAAGTCCATTTGGGCCGGTTCGAATAGATGGGGATGGGAAGAAATTGGGTTACAATTTGAGTGGGAAAATAAAAAATGAAAAGAGGATCAGAACGAAGCGAATGATACCATGTCAAATAAAAGACCTCAGTGATCTCATTTGATTTACTGTACCTCAACTGAGGTGTATTTATACAAGGCTATGAGTAACAAACTCATATATACAAAAGGAAACAGAATAAACAAATCCCTATACAGAGGGTAACTATCTAATTTGTTACAACTTACCATAAAATAATTAACTACTCAGAGAATAACAAACTATACAATTTGAATTTTAAATCTTCTAGCTCAACACTCAACCTACAATCCTTCCAATAAAGAAAAATCAAAAGAAATTACTGCAAACTAAAACTCGAACATAGACATTCGAGGCAACTGCTACTCAAATCTCACGTGTAAATAGACAAAGGCAATCAAAACCCACTGAACAAATTAACATTGTTGAGGTTGTAGTTCACTTATCTACACACCACTGAAAAAGATGATGCATCCTTAAGCAGATAGGCTCTGAAGACAAAAAGGTAGCAAAGAAACTGCCTAAGATTCCCACCGTAGGATGTTTCTAAACCAAACAAATCAACGATGGATGCATCAGATGACTTCGCTGGGACATAACACAACTTAGCAATCCAATGTTGTTTTGCATTACGATCTTCCAAAATAGAAGTAAGTCTTGAATCTCTTGATTCTTGATTTTCAGCAGCAGTATTATCCCAATAAACTTCTAAAGAAAATTATCTCTCATCTTGAATGTTTCCACTTTCCAGCATCAGTCTCATCTATATCTCAGAAATATTCTGTTTTTTTTTTCACACCAAAATGAAAGAGTCAGCACCCTGGAACCAAGATCAAGCAAGTAACTAAAATGAAAGAATGTGATAACAAACTTATTACCGTTTTCCTCCACAATTGTATCATACTTCTTGCTTGCTTTCCCATGACAGAACAGATGCCAAAAGTGAAAAGCACCATTGCAGCAACAATAGGGATAACAAATGCAAGAATCACTTCAACACGACTCCGTCCTGAACCAACAGCAGTAGAATTCAATTAACAGTCAAAATCAAACAAGTGTTGTTGAACTCAATCGCAAAAAGCAAAACCTACTAGTACTGTACCTGAAGGACGAGATTGAACAACAGGGACCGAAGGGGTCAACGTGTTGGTGCTATTGTAAAATGGGTAGAGCTCATATCTGATATTACATCCCGGAAGCAACACCCTTGCTCCTTGTTTCCCATCACAGCAATTTGGAACAGATGCAATGGCACTTCTGAAGCACATGTTGCAATCAAACGACGACAACTCTGGCGTGCACTGCACCAATCCGTAAAGGGTCGCTGAACTCGTGAAGTTCACTTCCCCTGTTGCAAACTTTTCAGTCATGGAATTCGCAGCTTTCGTTGCCAGAGCATTCAACAACCCAGCCAGCAATTCGTTGAACCTGTTAAGTTCTGCGCGATCTACGCTCTTTGAATCGGACATGTCCACTCCGGGAACTATGTTGTTGAGATATTGGTTGGAGTAGCGCAACATGCACATGTCGTACCAGATTATGGCCTCTTTATCAACTGGGCACAGGCGTTTTATCTCTCTCGCTGCGGCGGTGATGCAATCGTGGCAGCCGGCGGTGAGGGTGTCGCCGCGGCAGAGGAAGAGGCCCTTGACGATGTTAGGGGATTCACTGCCAACTATTGTTTTGTAGAAATGGGTGCCTTCGGTGGCGTTGGAAGAAAGGAAAGAGAGTAAGAGGTTGAGATTGGTTTGGAATGTGCTATTTGGTTGAAATTTGATAGAGTCTGTGCAGCAATGAGAATTGTAAATTGGAGCTGCTTCGGTTGGAAAGAGTAGGAAGCTAAAGAGGGAAAGGAAAACAGAGGAAAACTTGGAAGAAGGCATCTTGGTCATCTTAGTTTGGAGAAAGATTTACACAGGGTTGAACATTTCTGCATTTTACCAATTGTTTTTAGGGGCGTTTGAGAAAAAATAAAATTACGGGGAAATATAATTATTAGAAATATAGTGGGAAAATAATTTTGATAGAAAAGCTTAAAAAAATTGACCAAAATATTATCAGAAAAATTAATTTTAATTTATTAAATTTATGTTTGATTGATGATAAAATATATGTAAAAAAAAAATATGATTAAATTACCACAACAACCTTGAGTAAAATAAAATGAAAAAATATGATTTTAGTTACCAACATGGGTCATTTTGGTCTTGTTACTTGCTGTTGTTTTTGGATTTTTTTTATCTATCAGCGAATATCATCTTGTAAAATATTTTGTGTTTCTTTTAGTTTGTCTTTAGAACCTTGTATTTTAAGATCAGGTGTAGACAGAGACAGCCACTATAGAAGGGATGAAGATAAATGCAAAAAGTCACATTGTTAGGAAATGGGATGGACTTTTAAAATAAGGAAAAAACTACTCTTATGTCGCATAAGAGCAGTTTTATCTCCTACACACTCATCGAAAATCGTGACATTTATTTTTTTTTCTTTTTTTTTAAATGATGGGTCCCACCATATATGTGTCACAACATGAAAGAAGATCTCTCATTCAACATAAAATTAAATGAACCCTTAAAATAAACCCATTAACTAAAGCAACTTCCAGGTCCAACCATTTTGCATATTGGTGGTGGGGACAAATTGACAAACATTTTGGGTGGGGGCAAATCCGTCCCACCAATTTCGGTTTTACGAGAAATGACGAATTAGAAAGGTTAAATGATTGAGAAAAGGATTTTATAAAAATTATGTTGTAAGAAAAGTGATTGTGTTATATTATAGAGATTCATTTTTCGTGCTGTAAATTTTTTTTATTTCAAAAAATATGAGCTTCACAACATATTATATATGTGTAAGAAACTTTTTGTGATTATGGTACTTCATAAATTCAAACCCTTCATAAAAATGGTACCAGAAGACACCGGTTGTGACCTGCCTTGCGAGGAAATTTTAAGCGATTCCGGCACTGTCTGTGGTCCACCCAATCAAAATTTTCTCCTAACAAAACTGAAGAAATATCTCTTTGTTAGCTAGAGATTGGTTGGTTAAGATTCATAGTCAAATTCGATGGCTTGACAGTGAATTGACATAGCAGGACAGTACTTGAAACCATCGGCTATTCTGTGTATACCCTTCGTAGTGTGACAAGTACTTGATCATCTTAACTTTAGAGTAGGAGTAGTACCAACATTATACAAACTCCTTTGCATTTTTTTATTTTTCTTGGGTGGATTACAATTTAAGGTTTCTTTGAAAAAAATAAAAAATCTTGAAAAGAGTTATATAAATATGTATTCTGAAAAATATAATTTATGAATAATTTAATTTATGAATAAAAAATTTATAAATCCAATCTTCCTCGAAATTCTTATTCTATGCTCAGGCTAATGAACAAAATTGAATGTCTTCGTAAAGAGTAAATATTATTTTTAGTCTTTAGCAAATTTTACGATGTCCACTTTAATATCTAGCAAATAAAAAGGCTATTCGTGATCCCTAAGAAATTCAAAATGGACCATTTAGTTGAACTCGTGATTCCTCACAAATTCAAAAAAGACCCACATTAGTCCCTCAAAATAACTAAAATAGGTCCGTCTTAAATTCCTTAGAAACCACGTATAACTTTTTTATTTGTTAGGAATTAAAGTGAATATCATAAAATTTACTAAAGATCGAAAAAGTATTTACTCCTTCATAAATATTGGCTGTCTCTATTCTTTGAATTGCAAAAACCTTATGTCGTATAGCAAGCTATGTTGCTCTTGAATTCAATTAATACTGATCAACTCTTTCATTTTGCGGGGTTAGCAAGATATTAATAATTCATTAAGTTTAAATCTTTGTATTTTCAATATTTATTATTTGAGTTGCACGACATGACTCACTTACCATGCGGGTGTCGGATCCAAGGATTAAGTAACAGGATTTGCCCCTTGGAATCCGTACCTTATTGTTCACCTAGGACAAACCAACTTACTAAAAAGATTATCAAAAAGAAGGGAAGAAAGAAAAATAAAACCTTACCTAGAAAAATCAAGTGACAAAAAACTTATAATTTATGGTCCATCTTTTTTTTTCCCCCTTTAACACAAAGTTTAGATGAAAGGGAGATTCACGGAACAGTGACCATTTTGTCACGCTTGCAAATTTTTTTACCAAACTGCCACGTCAACAGTAAATTTTACCAAAATATCACGCGATATATTTCGCTACACTGTATAGCGAAATATGCCATGTCAGACTGCACAATCAGAAAAAATGACACGTGTTAAGCATGCAGAAATTCGCTACACTGTGTAGCGAATTATGCTTGAATTCTAATTGCTTGACATGTGTTATTTTTTACTGACTGTGCATCATGACATGACATATTTTGCTACACTGTGTAGCGAATTACTTGCAAAAATATTTCGTTACACAGTTTAGCGAAATATGCCGCGTGACATCTTGGCAAAATTTACTGTTGACGTGACAGTCTGATAAATCTTTTTGCGAAGTGTGACAAAATGGTCACTCTTGCGAGATTCACCAATCCAAGAGACTTACAACAGTATTTATAGATAATTTTCTTGTCTCCCTTACTTAAGTTTTGACCGTAGCCCAATTTAAGTCTCTATTCCGTTCGCTTTGCTATGCAAAAACTGTTCATTTGAGGCACCCATTATTGCCCAGGTAATGGTTCTTGTGGAACTTTTTGTAAAAAAAAATCTTTTTCATACCTCCATTTTCTTTTCAAATAAAAAAATATATATTCTCTTTATATTTTCTTTTCTAAAGGGGTGAAGATGCATCCGGTCTCCAAGGAAAAATTGTGAAATTCAAGTGGCTTCTTCAAAACCGTGGGGTTCAAAATGTTTTAGGATTTCAGGTTAGATGAACATACTGTGCCGCAAGCCCCATTTGACTGTTGTCTCCAGCCCACCAATTCTTTCCAATATTTTTTTAGTGTAAATTTTGTAATTATCATAAATCATGAAATCATTATTTCCAGTTTAAAAATAAAAAATGATTTCTCAAATTAATATAAATAATTCCTATTATAATATAATTAAGCTTATATATATATATATATGGCTTATCATTTCTCAAGCTGCTTGAGACAATGTTATTTCCGGCTATTAAATCATAACTGTAGAAAAATGAATCAACGGTGATAAAAGAAGAGAGAAAAAAAAATAATTATAACCATTAAAAGGTGAATCAATTAATATAAGGAAATAAATAAATAAAACGACGTAGTTTTGAGATGACCGGAGATAAACTTATATCAAGTAGCTTGAGAAATGTTTGTCCATATATATATATATATATATATATATATATATATATATATATATATATAAATATAAAGAAAAAAAATATTTTTAGCCGCTTTAGATAGGATTATCTACAGCTATCATCTATAACTATGTTCTCCCGGAAAACATAGTTATAATATTAAAATTGTTTTTTTTTCTCTCTCCACACCATCAAACAAGTTCTGAAAAATAACTAAGGAGATAGAAAAAAAAAGTGACTTTAATGTTATAACTATATTCTCATGAAAGAACATAGTAATAAATAGTAGTTGTAGATAACCTTATTTAAAGTAGCGGTAGAAATGTTTACCCCATATATAAACTATAAGTTTAACTTCTTTTATATTGTAGGAGATAGTATACATAAAAAAATATGGAATTTATATTTTATTTTTCTCTCTTTTCTTTTCAAACATAACTTCTCATGGGTCCCACATATTTTTATATATCTACCGAAGATAATTTTATTTGACAAACATCAGAACCATAAACTAAAAGCCACCTTATTATTCCCTCACCAAAAAAAAAAAAAAAAAGCCACCAGAGTTTGGGTAAGAATATTAATCCGGTGAAGGGAAACCGGAAACTCACGTAGAGATTTAAGTTGAAATATGATACTCACTTCTGATATACCATAAAACAAAGACTACCGAGGGAAGAAATTAGTAGTAGACATCTTATTTACAGAGGACGAGAAAGAATGATTGGTGGTGGAACCTGAATAAGATTCATGTTCAATTGAATGTCTTCTAGTTCCGCCATGCATGAAAAATGCTGGTTCGAGGGGAAATGGCATTTCAACTGAGAGATTGTTTAGAACTGAAGTAACAGTTCCCATTGTAGGCCTTTCATCTGGATTTTCTTGAACACACAATAAACCAATCTGCATACACTTTTCAACTTCGTTTGGACAATAAGATTCTAGCAAAATTGGATCCAGCAATTGAAATGGTGAATCATCCGTCCATAGTTTCCACGCCTGAAACCATAAATACATTCTAACATTATTGCATGCCTTAATTTGTATTTCTGTATATCTCTTTTGATCTGTGGTCCAGTAGATGCCGAGACATGAAAATGCAAAGAAGAAAACAAACAGGAACTTCATACTCACATAACTCAAGAGGTCATCAACACGACATGATTCAAATGAACATGAATTCTTTTTCCCACTAATAATCTCGAGAACCATAACTCCAAAACTGAAGACATCAGATTTCACGGAAAACTGTCCATGCATTGCATATTCTGGAGACATATAACCACTGAAGAAAGAAAGAAAGAAAAAAAATAGTATCGGAACCATATACTCTTAAACTAGCCATGCAAGGGAGTCATGGACATGAGACAGTTTAACCCAAATAAAAGTAGTAGAGGCACAGAAGCAGTATCCGCAGGAAGTATTTGCATCACATTGTACATATAACTTTCTTTTAATCACAAATATTGAACTGGCCTAACAAAGAAAAGGGGAACAGAATTTGAAACTCCATAGTTCCCGAAAATTTTACTCAAGCTTCTTTAGGATTGACCCATGTCCAGCATGCTTGCCATGCCAAATTCAAAGCAATAGCCAATAGACTTGGGAATATGCCATAAAAGGGAGCATATTTTCAATATTTATTTAACCTGAACCAAAGTGATTAGCAAAAACCCTCAGTATCACCATTGTATTCAAAAAGTGATCGGCATTTTTTTA